GCTGACGCTGGTAGAATCTGCAAACGTCAGTTTTAGCAATATAACCATCAAAGTTATCATACTCCTGGCCACTATCGGTATACACGAGTTTTTTCTTAATCCAAATTCACAAATTTGCACATATTTCACTTATCAACGATAGTTTTGTTACAATTATCCTAGACTGCCCACTCTAATGCGTACAAAAAAAGACTCTACTTGCAGCTGATCGATTAAACTTATATGATGAATGTACAATTATCGACTTATTCTTTAGATACTTATCGCAACGCATAGTACAGTATATGTAAAAAGTAATACTTTGTATTATTAAAGCAAAATAAAATTCAGCTTTGTAATGCTAACATACGAAATATAATTAAGATAATCAAAGTCTGCTTCAATGCGTGTACGATAAATAAAAGTGGCTAAAGTATCAAGTGCATTTCAATTATCTTGTTATTAAAATTTTCATTATGATATAAAAAGAAAATATTTAATAAAATCCGATATAAAATTTGTACTTCATTCTTAGAGACCTGAAACAATAGAGTTCAGTTAAGCTCTTTAAATGTCCATAAATTTCCTTTAATCTAAAAAGAATTAAAGTTAGTCTGCAGTAACAAAGTAACTTTTCAAACTTCAGACCCTTAAAAAGTAAAATCAATCAGATTCTATATGGTAAGAGCACCATAAGCATTAGAAATAAATTACTTTGGAATGATAAAATTAACACCAGACACCGCTATGATTTATTTTTATATGCTACCGGTGCTACTTTCTGTGCATCGAACGAGCTTCATAGTTGCCAACTAATTCTCACTCTTATTCAATATACTTTCATTGTTTTTAACTATATATCTTCGTCCTCCGTCTACCGCACTTTGTTATAAGTCCTGTCCTCTCCAACTTACGCCAATTAATTAACACTTTTTGACCACCAATCATGACTATTACGCAATTCTCAATGTTCAATACATTTTGACAATTATTCTACATGTTTTATATGATACATTGTGATTCTGCGTGCAAAATTGCGATGATCACAATACAAGCGGTACTTGCAAACACCTACTTGCAATTTGTAGATTGGCTGTTCGTTCTTGGTAAGGCTCTGAAAATTTGACAAAATTTCAAGGTAAATAAATTACCTGGAATAACGACTTATTGGCGATCTGCGGGGACTTCTTGACCAGGACCTAAAAGAAATTAAGAAAAACTGTTGTATGTTTTAGACTGCTCATAATGTTGTCGATTGCCGTGATTCACTTTGATTTTTCTTTTGTGTACTCGCACCTGGAAAATTGGCGATGAACAAAGCCAGAAAATTCTTACCTGGGGTAACGACCCAGTGATCTCCTTCGAGGACTGCGAGATCTGGACCTATAAGGTTGTCAAAAAGATATACGGTATGTGAATCCTGTTGTTCGCTAAGCATATTCACAAGGAGATTACAATGGGAAAGAAAACGAGCTCAAAGTGATATATCTCTACCTCTGCCATGACTAAAATTTTGCCCTAGCGCATCACCCGTTTAGATTTCCCATGCAGTGTATTTGATTGCTCTTCAGCTAGCTTGTGAATTGTTGAACTTATTATGAAAATGTTTTCTTAGCATACAACATACAGGTACAAATACCATTTTTTAAAACTTTTATTCACATAAAAACAATAGCCAGAAGAGCATTAAAATCAAATAAATGCGATGTATAATATATTCTATCTGCATTCCTATACAAAATAATTAAAAAAAATATTCAGTTATATCCGCTGTGCATAAAAAAAATTCACCGAAACCCGTGCATCATTTCTTGACATTCTTATTCGTTAACTGCACTGTAATACCTACTTGGCAAGACACTTAGCCATCTGCAGCAGCTCAAATGTTGCTGTAAAATGCACATACTTAAAGTCTTGAGATTTCTTACCTGGAGTATCTTGGACCTGGTCTCCGTCCACCTGCACGTCGACTTCTTCCAGAGGACATCTCTACTCTTACTCTGGTTCCACAACAGCGTCTGTGAATATTCATAGACTTTTTATGCATCAGATACATATTATACATACAAATTGGTAATACATATTCATTATGCTTAACATGTTTGTGATCATGCATCACATATGTGTGATACAGTAATTTGCTTAGAGAGCCCAACATCACACATATCTAATGCCATGGATTATCTGATGGTATACCCTATTGTAGTTTTGATTATATCAAAATATTACACACATATATACGATATTATGTAATATATTTTGTTTGGTTTATTTACTATGTTTTAAATGTTTCAAAATTATATGAATAATATATCATACGAAATAATTACAAGAAAGGCACAGTCCACAGTAAGAGTATCTTAAATGTGACAGTGGTTGCGAACAGATTAAATATTCTATTATTTATCGTCACTGTATACAAACATTTTCTATTAACACTTACGTTCCATCTAATCCTCTAACTGCATCTTCTGCATCACGTGGGTCTTCAAATTCCACAAAGGCAAATCCAGGTGGGTTTCTAGCAACCCATACATTTCTGAGTGGACCATATTTACTGAATGCACTTTCGATTTCGTGTTTACTGGCACTACTTCCCAAATTACCAACATATACTTTGCACGAAAGATCCCATTCACGATAACGTGACATTTTGTCTGTAAATAACATTTTTTATTCTACTTCATTAAATAATTACAAATTTATTCCATTAATATCAAACATATCATGATACTGTAACTATTGTGGATGAAAGATACAAAATAAATATTTTAACTAAACTCCATGATAAATATAAGACTTGTCTCATTATGTAATATTAAATGCAATCTGCACTTTTCTTTCTAAAAATTTAAGTACATCAATAAAATTGATTATGACTCTTTTATTCAACGTTATGGATTTACTACATTTATTTTATTTACATTAAACATCATTCCAAACAATAAATTTAAAAATAAATGAAATTACAAATATTTTCTACAAATCTATTATTCAACACTGAATAAATTGTTGTCTTCTGTCAGTTAACGTACATTAAAAAAATATCGACCAATAATAGATTAATTGTTTAATATACTTATTTGTAATGCAAATGTAAATGCGTATGAAAACGTTTAAATAAAAGCCGCTATATGCAAATAACTTAATTATGTATCGACAAATCAGGCACAAAATATGACGATTATACTGAAAAGGGAAAGTCAGAACACCGCCATGTTGTGCTCTCAATTTACTGTAGTACAAAAATGAACAAGTCTTAAATACTTCAAGTTATATAAAACAGAAGTTACAATATATTATAACAATAAATGAAAATTATTGTTTAAGCCACTTTATTCCTATACAACAATATTACAGAAAAATAACTTGCATTGAAGCTAACAGAAACCGACGCCATGAAAATTGCATAGCATTTTTCTCATTAATCTATTACTCTTTTAATAAATAATTATAAACTTATAGTTACAGTTCATTATAAATAAAATATCATGTTTTACTTACATTTTTGGTAAATAAATTTACTAAAAAGGTTTCTATAACTTTGTAACACACACAACCGTTCCTCCGAACTGCACAAGTAGAAATGCTCACAAAATGGTGGCGTGTGTAGCGTTATTCTTCTTCCGTGGCCTCCTTTCTAAGATGGCATTGGTGTGTGCTGTATATTGTCTTGTACTTTCTAGTCAAATGAATGTTTAATCTTTCTGCATGATGTCTACACTTTGTCTAGGCTCTGGACTTTTAATTTTCATCTATTTTTATATTCTGAATATTTTTGTATTTGAAAAAGTCTTTTAACTTAACACGTAAAAAAATATATATTGTCATGCTATGGTTAAAAATTATTTGTAAATAAATTGTTAAATAAGATAAATTTACAACAAACAGTGATTTTGTTTTAATAATAAAATATTCAATTATTGAATTGATACAAAACTAATTTTGAATAAATGTTTTACAAAAAATCGATAAACACTCTAATTTGACTCACCGCGTGTGTTGAGACAGTACAGTAAATACTATTCAATATATAAATAGGGGAGAGTTGTCTATGTTTTACCACTTAAAATATTTTACGTTATATTTCCTATCTGACAATAATTTGCTTCCAAATTAATATTGGATATCGTGGATTAATTTGATATTTTAAATATTTTTTAATAAATATTTTATCTTTTGTTAAAAATGAATTAATGTTTTATAGTACAAATTGTGCCTACCAGAACCTTACCAAGACTACAACTCCCAAAAAATAATATACGAATAATTTATTAAGAAAAATAATAATAGATATGGCCGATAAAATAAATTATTCATTAATATTCATTTTTACAGTAAGCAAACAGAAAATTATGCAATATATAATACTGGTAGTTTTTATTATTATTATATTTTATCAATGAAAAATATTCAACGCACATTTATAATTATTGAATTACATTTCGTACATGTATGTTTATAAGCAAAGTAGAAGTAGAATTTAAATATGTTTAGAATTATGTAACCTACGTACAATTATTTGCATATATAAATTACACATATCAGTACAGTTTTCAAAACTTTATGAGACAATTTGTTTATAAGTATGTAATAAATTCTTCAATAAAACTACTCTTAGAAATTTAAAATACATTAATTACAGGTGACATCAATTGTACCTAAGTAATTTTTTTAAATATTATAGCACACATAAAATACAAAGAAATCTAACATTTTTTATTTCACATTTTTAGTATTATATTAATCATAAAAAGATGTATAAAGTACAATATAGGCAATCTTCTTATATATCAATGTACGACTAATTAAATTCAAAAGCAATTAATTATGTGCGAATAAATAATGTATAAGTAAATAATAAATATAATTTACTCTTACATACATCACAAAAGTATTTTATTATTTACAACATTATAAAAAATTTACAATTCATAAGTATAGTTTCACACATTCATAACCGCTATTTATTTTAATAAAATGACTTCAGTTACAATATTTTATCAAATGTAATGTATCCTCTATGAAGATCAAACAGATGTTATAAAAAAATCTCATTCACACTTGACTGTTACACAAAGAATTATAAATTTAAATAGTAATACAGGTAAAATTAATTTGGTTTTCTTTATGTAAAATACATAATAGTAGTCATCACAAGTTTCAGACACTGGTAACGACTGTGTTAAAGTACAATATGGATTTCTTGAAAATTACTTCATTAATGAACAAGTCTCTTATAATCAATTTTCTCAAGTTGAACCAAAGGTTTTAACTGTTCTGCAAAAATTCTCATATCTTCTGCTATTGCATCTTGACCACTTGGCGCTAAAACACTTAGTTCTACTAAATAGCTTTGAGATATAGCTTCCATACTTTCAGGCATTTTCCCTTGTTGAGCCATTTTAAATATTTTGGAAACTGTGACCTTCATTCTACCTTTACGGAACATATAACCACGAGCAATATATTCAAAATCTAATCTACATCCAAGTTCTGTCAAAAAGTCAACGACTGTATTACTTGTTGCTATATCTAAGCTACTCCTAACAATTGTAGGTCGTGACTTGTCACCCAATTCTGGTTGACCAATATAACGTAATTGCCATGGCATATCTTGATAATCTAATGCCCGTCTAACACGTAAAAGTAATGGTTGTTCCGATCCTCTGAAACAAATAAGGTTAAGTATTTACGTATTTTCTGTAAGTATTTTAAATAATTTTAATACTACTTTTATATTATTTACCTAATACTGAAGCACATTTCATGGTCATTGAATGTTTCTGGTCCAGTGTCAACATTGTCACATAAACCACGTAACCTGTGAAGTAGCACTTCAACAGCACTGTCTAATACCGAACTTTGTAGTAAATATTCTTGGTTCGGAATTATGTTTGATTTAATTGCAGCTGATAAGCTGTCCATTGCTGTACTTACTGGAGCATTCATTTTTATATTTTATAAATTTATTTCACGAATACTGACTTTTTTCTGTACAATATGAAACACTGTATTTGACAGATATATATATTTACTTTTAGGTTACCGTTTCAAATCTCGGGACATATATATACTATGTACAACCTACATATATAAGTATGTAGGTATGTATGTAATTTCTTATTATTGTTTCCGAAATTTAAATACATACAAATGTTATTCAACATAATATATTAATGCACGAAAATTAGTTACTGACTTCATAACGCTTATAAATAAAAGAATAATTTATTTATTTGAGGACAGTAAATAAAATAATTTTGATGCGCATCTTTCGAAGTTTTCAAAACAATAAACGATTTTACAAGTTTAGATATCATTATATTTTAATTCTTTGAAAATTGTAATATAATAAATAATATGTAACATGCCTAAAATTAATTACACATATAAAGAAATATATGTATTAACTGTGTAATCTTAAAATTAAATATTATTTAATTACGCGGCTACTAACTTTTTATAAAAGAATTGTGGTATGATGGTAATATAAATATCATACAAGTCAGTAGGTCTACAAACATTTGGAATGTTTAAGTTAGTAAAATATATGAGTTATAAAACCGTATACCTACAAAATATAAAACAATCACTTCATCAATGTATTTTTAAATCTATTAGTATATATTTTTTCTTAAAATAAAATTTAAATGCATATAATTAAATACCCGGCTTTACAGTTATTGGCACGTTACGCAGAAGCACATGCTAGTTTGTTGCTTCTGCTAATGAGTAGATGCGCAGAGGGAAATTTACAACATGGCGGAACGCAGGAAAAGCAGGAAGCGCAAAGATGTAAGTATCATATACGACTATAATTATTGCAATATCACTTAACCATATATGTGTGTTGTTTTATTTATTTATTAATTGCAAATACAGTTCTCATTTTTATATTAGATTAATTTTATTTTATTTATCGGAAACGTATGTCATGGTTAAGAACTGTTTCAACGGAGTCCGATGACGTAGCAAACCCATCAGTCATTCCTCTTATTCAAAGTTTTGAAATTGATCTTAATTAGACAAATAATTTAATATTTTATAAATTACTTTATATTTGTATTTATAAAAGCTCAACAATTACATGAAATGTATTTTTTGTAATTAAGATTTGCGATAATTTTAATAATATTCCGGTATATTTTGGGTCACCATCTGTATCTGAATTTTTTACACTCCGTTTTTTTTAACAGAACGCAACAAATCATATTTTACTTAACATTTCTTTGTTGCATCATCAAATTATATTTTATTAGTATTTTATGTTAAATTGTTAAAATTAATAAATTAAATATGTAATTTTTATTAAAGTGTCATACACTGTGTTTTTATTGTTTATTATAGGAAGTGGCAAATATAGATCATGAAGTTATTCAAGACAAACCATCTAAAGATGAGTATGCAGTAGCGAAATGGATCCGTAATAATGTACCATCAAAAAAAACAAAATTCGATAGAAACCACAATGTTGAATATTTCACTGGCAGTCGTGCAGTGGATGCACTATTGGAACATTCTCCATGGAGCAAATTCAAATTTGAGACACGTGAACAGGTTAGAGAATTCTTAGATATGATGTTAAGACACAAGTTCTTTCATAGAGCAAAAAAGGTAGTCATTTCTGAAGAAGAATTATGCAAAATACGTGGAATAAAAAAGAAAAGCAAAGATATTAAGAAGGATAAGAAATCTGAAAAGGAATCCTCCAAAGACACCAAAGATGCAACAGGTGGAAAAGATGGTGAAGATAAAGTTGAAGAGAAAAAAAAGAAACCAAAAGTGTGTTTATTATTTAGAAAATAATATAAGTGTCATTACATATGAAATATAATTAAACAGAAAATAATTTAAGTATTAATGATTATTTCAGGTACGCTTAGAAATGCATATGGAACAATATTTTGTGGACTGTAATGATGCTTATGTGTGGATATATGAACCAATATCAGTGTATTATTGGTTCTTTGGAACACTTGTAGTGTTAGGTGCAATTGGTCTTTGTCTCTTCCCACTATGGCCATCAACGATCCGCCTTGGTGTATATTATATAAGTGTTGCGGGAGCAGGATTCCTTTTATTTGTTATGATATTAGCAACTATTAGACTTATTGTATTTTGTCTTCTGTGGGTTCCAACGCTTGGCAGATGTCATCTTTGGCTTGTACCAAATTTGACAGCAGACGTTGGATTCTTTGCATCATTTTGGCCACTTTATCAAGTTGGTATTAATTTGTAATTTCTTATTACAAATTTGTGAAATTTGTGTTATTATGTGAAAACAATGACACATCAATTTATTTACAGTATGATTACTATGGATCAACATCAGAAATGGACAAGAAACTTAGTAAAAAGAAAAAGAAGAAAGAAAAAGATCTTGATTCTGATGAAACACCATTACTGTCTTCGTATGTAAAATTATAAGACAACAATGCAAATAATTTCATAAAAATATTATTGTAATCGTTTAATAACCTTCTGTAATTTACAGAGATGAGAAATCTAGTACAAAGGAATTATCTACAGAATATACCCAAATAGAAGAAACGTCTCTTAGTGAAGAAAAAAAGCTTATTACACCTGAAATGGCAGAAGGTGAAGAAGGTAGTGAAAGCTCAGAAAGTGATAAATCTAATACAGGTCGGGATTTTGTGATGCTTTAAAACAAACTTTTGGTAATAAATAGTTTTCTTTTATTTACTACAAATGCTGTGTCAATTAATGGTTAATTTTTGCGATTTCTATTAATAGTATAGAAATTGTAATATACAAGTTAACATTTATGTTAACTTTTAAAAATATATATTGTCTGTTACATTTAATGTTAAGAGTGGCAAGAAACAAAACTGCGGTTCATCAATTTAGCAACTTCAATCTGCTTCTTGCTTAAACAAGATATATTTGCATTTTTTGCATTTATAAATGGAACAAGAAAGTTGTATCTAGATATATTTTACAGACGGAAAATTTTTGTAACTGTGGTATAAGAATACCATCTTTGAGATTCCAATATAAATATACATGTTTATTTAATTCATTTTTAATCAACATTTAGGTACATATTTACATGTTTTTTGTAAAGAATTATTGTATCAAAACGTATGAATACGTTAATATAGGTGCCTGAAACCTTCCTGCATCAATTGTGAACTGTTTTTAACAATTTGTATTGTATGATACAATATTTTACTATAACGAAATATCAAATTTCAGCCACATAATTTCCACAGGCGTCGTATGTGTACAGAATCGGGTAAATAGAATCTTTGTGAATAATTATTTCTACCAACTGTCATTATACCTACAAGTTCCTCATTAACACAGTTAATATGTCACAAATTTAATACAATAAACAATGACTTATATTTTTATGTAAAAACTTCAATGATAACGATTATGATAATATTTATGATTGCTATTATTATTGTTATTTGAATTATTATTATATTATTTATTACAATTAGTATTGCATATCATTTGTATCATTTTAAAAGTATAGATTATAATTTCATCGATCCTTAAATAAACAGTAATGTATATTCTTAGTTTAGTTTATTATTTAAATATTCTAAGTATGTATACATTTTACAAAAACTTGAAAATTTTGTTAGCATAAAAAGTATGATGTGTGTAATCATAAAATGAAAGCAACTTTCACATTTACAAAAATTCGACATACAGTAAATAATAGCGTTCTTTTTCAGCTCCTAATCTATTTGTAATATTTATATAGTTTTGATTCGTGCGGTTTCATATCTCTTTTTACAGTAGAATTTACATTAAAAAAAATCGCTAAACCAATTTTCATTTGAAAATGAAAGACAAAAATTTAGGAATAAAACATGATTTTGTTATAAAATATCTTGTGTCGATTATCATTTTACAATATAGAATCTGGAGCTTTTATATTTTCCTCTGTAACCACAGAAGACATTATAGTAGTTTTATTAGTTTCGCTTTGACCGCCTAACCGCAATGTTTGCACTTTGTCATTTAAAACTAATGAAGATTTCAATGCCCTCCTTAATGGTTCATTCAACAACGATCGCCTTTCTCAAAACATTTTTTTATTCGTTTGAAAAAATGTTTGTTTTGAAGAATAATGTAGAATCTCATTAAAATATTTTGTTATATTTCGCCTAAATTAATTTTTGTATGAAATAAGTAATAATTTTAATTCGATAGTAGTTCAAAAAGTATTTATTTTAGTTCATCAATTGTTATAATTTTTCTAGTTGTATTATTTTATATTATAATAATGAAATTACTTTATTTTTAGTTATATTAACAATATATACGTTATAAAAATATTTTTAAATTATTTTTATTTCATTATGAGTCTCTTACTCGTAAAATATAATCTTATTAGTATTCAGCAGTGTTTTTAATACTGTTTTAGTATACAAAAATTTAGCTATGTTGTATTTAAAAAATTATCTTTTTTACGTGGTTATGGTTTATTCTTCAAAGCATTTCATTTTATCTGATTTTATAAGGAAAGTTACAATTCGAAAATTCAGATTTTAATAAAACTTTGCGTGTATGTAAAGCATTATAAAGTATACACAAGGAGCAACCTTTTTAGTTAATGATTCAACAGTAGGAGAGAAATCCATCCTAAAAATAATTGTTTTATTTTTTCATCTTCTTATTCTGATTTTATGATGTTATTAAATATAAAAAATATATTTAAATATAAGCATTGCTCAATTTTCTATATTATGTCAACCTTTTTCGAACAAATCGTCCACGAAAAATAAAATACGTAGCGGCTTACACAAAGAAGTTTATATTTTTACTATCTATATTTAACTATAAGAAATAAAAAGAATTGTTATAGGTATGTATACAAAAATTGTATTAGTTTGTAACGGTTTTCTGCAATGTAAGGGAATATAATTTTTCAATATTTCGTTCATCATAAATTGTACTCATATTTTTACACCCTTGCGCAATATATACTTCCATTTACATTTTTCAACTGAAAAGGATAATATATTTTAAAGAAAACTAAAAGAGTGTAAACTGAACGTTGATTTCACTTTCTCGAAAAATATTGTACCTTGCATAATTCGTTGTTCGCTAGATGTACATTAAAAGATCAATTTGTTCGTCGTTGGGAAATAAACGTGTCATAATCTAATCGAACAATACAATTTTCGAAGGATAAAACAAAAATGACTTTCGCAATTTTCGAGACTCGTCGCGACAGAGGAGGCAGGGGCCTGAAGGAAATTCCACGTCAGTATCAGAATTGCGTCCATCGCCTTGCACAGGACAGGTATATACCGTTGCACCCTCTTTTTACAAAAAGTACGCTGAGGGCATAATAGAATGGAGATTGCGGTGCTTTCGGAGATAGAGGGCGATGCACAAAAACTTTAACGTGTTTAGAAATGCATAACTCAAAATGAGTAGGGATACATTCAAATTACAGATAATAATTGTTGACAAAAATTTTGAACAACAAATAAAACTTGAAACTAATCATATAAGAATTACACACTTCATTTTACACGTGTACAAAATTTCTTCTTTGGATTACCGCCATATTAACAACATCTATATATTGCGTGAAATCATTAAGACTATCGATGACCATGTTGTGTGTGTGAGAATTTGAATTTTCGTATGATACCAGTGAAATGTAATAACTTAATTTCATACGTTCGATGTAATGAAAACAAGGTTTCAAGGGAAATTTTAGAAACCTTCCACTTTACTATTTTCAATTTAATATCTAGATGTCTGTTCCCTTTTTTGTTCTTATCAAAAATTGTTTTGGATGTAAATGAGAAAGATTTTAAAAATATCGGAATATCTCCGAAAATTAACAATTATAGAATTAATTTAATTTTTAAAGAAATTCTGATATCTTTAAAATTTGTCTCACTTTACCGTCTTTTTTAAATACAACTTAACAATTATAGAGTTAATTTAAGTTCTGCTTCAAAGAAGACGGTAACTATAATTTAGAAAAAGCTTTAATTTTATCATTATTAGTGGTAAAATATTTAATGTATCATGCTTTATGGAAAAAGGTAATTACTTGTTTTCAAACAAATTTTTGCATATCTGTTTACGTACTTTTGTAACAATACATATTCTAATACTAACGCATTATTATAATAGTATGACATTTTACAACATAATCACTTAACATTCATAATGGTAATAAACATACAAATCTCACGATATTCATTTCTGCATACAGCGATCTTAATTCGAGTTTGCCGTTAATATGGGTGAGTTCAGATACCAGTAAACGAGATGGAAAAACAACTATTTTATGGCATTCGCTCCTGCCTTCCGCAGCTACGAAGATCGTTGATCCTGTTCTTTAAATCTTTTCCAGGAAACTCGTTTCAATTTATCGTTTTGCCGCGAATTAATTACATTACGTCACATACTGGCAAATTCTTTTGGAATGTCGCCGGACCGGCAATAGGTTTCCCTATTACTAGGAAGTAGTCTGCGCGGATGTAAATACGAGGCTTCTCTTACGGTTAAACACAAGAATTTGTCAAAAATTAATTACTTAAACAGGAATACAAACACGCCCATCCTCGTGTTGACTTACAATGGATTACAGACTTAATCAAATCTTTATACCTACAAGTTTTAACACTTGAACTATCGCACCCATCAAAAAATGATGAGATTCACTTTTCTATTTCGCAATTATTGGTACCTTGAAAGTGTTAAATATCCGAAATTACTTCAAACACAACCTATTTTATTAAAAACAAACTATAATAAATGTATTTAGAAATACGTGAAATTCGAATGTGATATTGAAGTATTTAAAATAATATGGCGTCTATAGAAAGGACGTCTCAAGGTTATATTAAAATTGGGAGATAATTCGATGACATACAATATCTAGAACATATTTAATAAAAATACACACCATCGGTTGGTCACAAAAATATTTGAAGACATGCATTATTATTTATTTTGCATACGAGTTGTTAAAAATTAGATTAGTCTAAATCACAAAATGAATTTAAATAAAGTAAAATCTACTTAAATGTAAATGTGAGATTAAAAGTTTGATATGTTCATCGGGAAAAAAAATTAATTTCTCATGCATATTTAATTTCTGTTAATTGGATTTATTGTTCTTATTTATTTAATAGATCTTTATATAAATATCAATCAACATGTTCGCCATCTTCCACATGGAAGACCGTTGCCACAATTAAGTATGCAATTTAATACATAACAAAATTGAATATGTTATTTACATATTTCAAGATATCTTCCAACAAATAAAATTTTTCATATTTGCATGATGGTTATGAAATAAATAACAATTTATTTCAACCGTTTCAATTTAAAATGTCGATTTGTAGTTTATATATACATTAAATACACAGCGTTATCTCGCGAACCTTACTGTCTTTCCATTCGCATTTCGTTCCAATAAAGCAATCGATTATTTAACTGTCTTCACTAGTAAAAACCCAATCACAAGTATCAAACAACAAATCGAAAGGAAAGACATTCGACGATAATTTATCATACAACGGGGTGCATAAAATCTCATGGAAAATAATTCAAGGAAGCCCGGCAAACTTTACAGCACGACGAAATTAATATACGATCACATTGCAATAACTTTGGCAGATCCGTGGCTAGATAGAGTAGTTTTAAAAGAACTAAATTGAAAATTGATCCCGGCGGCGAGGTTACACGAGCATTCCGTTTCCTCGCCATAATGCTAACGAGTATTTAGCGTCGTGGTTTTTACCAAGAGTCCAGTAAGTTTACCGTTAAATCTGCTTAAGTGTTACGTTTGTGCCGTCTCTTTCCCACGAGCGGCATATTAAAATCTTTAATTTCCCGAGTGGGACTTGGCGGAGTTAATGAAGTCGCAAACGTTCGCGCGCATGTTAAAAAAAATAAAGGAATAGTCGCGGTGCGGCGCGGCTTGGCGCGGTGCGCAGGCTTTTCTGCTCGTGTCTTACGGGAATTCTTTCTTTTCCGACTCGGCGTTGTCATCTCAACGAAATTCAATTAATTCCCATAAACGAGCCACTTAATTAAACGGAAACTTTTATCTCGAAAAGGAACAGACTAGGTATGCACCTATTTTTCTGCAGGTGGAGTGGCGATTCGTAGGCTCGCCGGTCGCGGAACGAAGGGCCGCGTCACGAAGGCAAAGTTAACGGCCCATAATTCATAGCCGACATATAATAAATATCGTTACTCCATCGTGAGCACACGCAGACACGCTCACGGCGGTTTAACGCACGCGTACACACACGCGGCTCCTCGTGTAATATGTGCCTAAGGATTTAAACGTTTCACGACTCCGTACGGACTTTCCCTGATATTATGTGGTGAGCTTTCGTCCTTGGCGGAGGTAATAAAAGTTTCCTTTAACAATGCGCTCGCGTGCAG